AATACAATCACGTTGCGTAAAGCACCTACTTACATAATCTTATTAAAACTAAGAAAAGCTATTGTATAATAATGTTTCGCAATACATAGTCCGATCGAAACCGAAACGGTTAGCATTATAATAAAGTTCATCTAGGTTAAGAATATTATCAAGGTTCTTGAAAACGTTTTCGCTTCTCTGGAGTCTAGATACCTCACTGAAAATTTGCCTAGCCAAAAAGAAAGTCAATAGTTAGAAAATTACGTCATGCCACTTCATTTCTTATCCTTGTCTTTTATTTTTCGTATTATATCCCCCTACCTCATCACCTCCCCTTTCCTACCACCAAGGTTAATTTCCCTAGATACGCGACTACCTGTTTTACCGTTGCTACCCTTTACATATCACCACCCGGCTCCTTGGCACCGGGCCTTTTGCCAACAAAGCCCGTTACTACCCTGGCTTTTGTGGTCAGTACACATACCGGGACACTAAATCCCCTCTTTCCAATACCTGTAGGCATGCGTAGATTTATGACGGGACCAATGGTTTAAAAGTCTCTTTCAAAAACGATGTGCTGTAACTTGCAATTCATGGATGCCAGCCCTGCAGATGAAACACAACGAGAGCAGCGATGAATTTGAAATAGTCCCTTAGAAAAATGTCACAGAATGTACAACAGAGGGAAACAATGTGTTCACATTGTGATGACTACATTACTAGGGCACCATTGTATGAACAGTGTGGACATAGACTGTGGACAATGTGGACACAATGTGAATAAAGTGTGGATATTATTATTCCACACTGTGTTCACACCTTGTCCACACTAGGTCCACACAGTCGACACAAATGTTACTATGTGTTCACTCTGTATATACACAGTGCAAACGTCAATAATTCGCCCTAGTCAATATCCGACACTGTGTGAACATCCTCTGCTGTACACTCTGACGTTTTCAAAACCATAGATTAGGCGTTCGGGATATGTATTTAAATTTAATTTCAGCATGTACTAGTTTAGTACGTGATATTTTTAAATTAGTACTTTTTAATGAATAATTAGGGTAACAATTAGTAATAATAATAATAATTAATTGATAATTTGAATAGCGAATGACAATCATTTTTAAATATAAATTAAAGGTTATACATTTTTATACGTTCAACTTGTGCAATTCAATATCCAACTTTTGATGTTAATATTGACGGCAATTTATTTGAGGAATTATGAGTGTCCCGTTTTTTTGGAATGTGTGTCATACCAAGTATGTGTTTATTGTCAAGACACACTTTATTCAAATAAAATTTTGAAAGGATCTTTCACATTCCCATTTCCCCATACAATAAACGTTTCAAGTACCATGATATTAACAAGTTAGGTCCTTTATTCCCCCATCTTAAGATAAATCCCAAATTATTATCAATTATTTGAGGGGTTTTTTCATTCAAAATAAATCATAAATTACCCGGTTTACTTTCTTGACAATCTCATCCGGTACCAATAATAAATAGAAATATTATTATTTATTATTATTATTATTATTATTATTATTATTATTATTATTATTATTATTATTATTATTATTATTATTATTGTTATTATTATTATTATTATTACAAATTAATATTATTATTATTATTATTATTATTATTATTATTATTATTATTAATATTACAAATACAAACACAAAATTCTTTATTTGTCAATATTCATATACATAAAATTAGCAAACAAAAACAATTGAAACAAAAGGAACCTCTTGAGGCCCTAAGGGGCTTGTTAGAAATTTCGAGGGCCCTAAGCGAAACGTACACAATAAATCCAAATTAAGATTAATTCAAAATAATAGGAATTAACAATTAAGATGCCTTTTCTTTCAGCTTGAGAGCAATTAAGTAAAATTACAAAGCTTGTCGTGGTATTTGCCAACTTTTGTAATCAGTTACGCTGATGAAGTCTTGAGGACAAGACGAAATGTTCGTTTCCTGAATAAATTATATTGTATTCTACTGTCTAACTCAACGTTTCCGCATCATTATTTTCTGTCTTATTTTCTGTTTTATTATCTGAACAC